CACTTGATGATCAATTAATTGTTGATTAAATAGTCAAGCTGCTGATACGTGTTGATTTTTCTGCTCTTTTACATGGATGTGAATTGAAAGTCTTTGGGTTTTGCACATTTGGTCAAAGGAGACAGTTTGACGACAACGCTTTAGGTTCCGAAAATGGAAAATTAATCACAGATAAATCAGTGATGAAAATAAAAATTACCAACATCTGTTTGTCTGTGTGTTTGATTTTCACTTCATCACTTTTTCTAACATTGCGAGACAGGACGCTTTTCGTAATTTTATATTAAGCAGGTGTGTTTGTGTGTACACAGTTTGGAGGTTTGAACTCTGCTGAGAGCGACAATGAAACTAATCCTTTAAAGACAAAGGTTTTATTTTTAACAATCCAAAGGTCTGGGAATGGACAGAATCCGATTAAAGGCAAGGTTAGCATGTTTCTGTATTTATGGATAACTGAGGTCTCACTGGACAAGTCTCTAAAATGCGGGACAGACATCTCCGTGTATGACAGCAGCTGTTCTGGTGAGCTGAGTGTGTGCAGGTGTCGAGCTCTCACTGGTCTCGTTCGGCCATTTTCCTCGAGGCCCTTGGACTCCTTTTTTATTAGACGGCTAAAAGGACCTAACGATGTTCGCCAGTTGAGTTCATATTCCAGACATCACATCGTTTTACAGCACGGCATTTCCACCTCTTAATTCTGACAGTTTTGACTTTAATGAAATTGCCATTGGATCCATATAATGAGGAGCATTTCCTGAGGTTATGTTTGAGTCTGCGTTTGTTTGTTTGTCTCGTTGTGAGTTAGCAAGATTACGCAAAAAGGACTGGATGCATCACCATGAAAATTGAAGGAAGGATGCAGTTTTTGTCAGGGAAGACCCATCAAATGATAAGACAATCAACAATAATGTTCAAGAAAGTGGAACAAAATCCTGGATCTTGCTGAAAAAACTATCATGCATGTTAAAGGGACTGATATTTATGAATGTGTGCAATTTGGTGCAGATGCAAACAACAATCTGGATCTAGTTAATTTGATTTCAAAGGGGACTGTTGGGCCTCGGCAGAGGGACGTGCTCTCTGAGTCCACCTCGAGCTGCTTGTAAATTCAGCCATGTGTGAATAAAAGAAATAATGAGCTGTTTTCATGGCAAAGACTTGTTTTTAACATCACGGTCAAACTTAAATGTGGAAAATCCCCAAAAATACAAAGTTCAGTTTTGTTGAGAGGGACCTTCTGCCCAGGGACACACTCCCTGCAACCAACACACACACACACAAACACACACACACAGGCTAGCCACATAGCCATGCTACAGGAACATTGCCTCTACACCAGCTCCTCTGGTCCTGCTGCAACAGATGGCCCGACAGGTCCCTGGAAAGGCCTGCAAGGTGGAGGGAGGGAGGTTTGCGGGGGGGTTGGCATCCTCTTAGGAGGACTGACGGGGGGTGTTGGATGGATGAGGGAGGGAGGAGACATATGTCCACAGCCCTGGCCCCTGCCGACGGACCGTCTCTGCCGGCTGCCTGGCTCTGTGTCACAAACACACACACACACACACACATGCTGGTACTTCTGGCTTTGTGAGGACAACCTGTATCCTAACCTAGTGAAAAGTCAAACCCCAACTCTTCACCTGATTCAAACCCGAAACACTTCAGAGGACATAAAATTGACTTGCATTGATTTCCTGGAGACTGACTGTTACCTTAACCAACTTGTCTGACCCTAACCTGTCCCAGTGTCCCCCGTAACACTCATTCAGCCCTAACCTAACGTGAATATATGTCTTCACTTAAAAAATGAAATGATTTACTTAATGGGGACTTGGATTTTGTCCCCAAAAGGACGACACACACATTCTACTTCTATCTTAGTGAGGACACTTATTGCCATAATGCATGTGCCAGCCCCTTCCTTACTCTAACCGTAACCATCACTATTACATGCCTAACCCATACCCTAATTCTAACCCTAAACTTAAAACCAAGTCTTAACCCTCAAACACGTCTTTGAAAAATGTCCTCACTCCGTAAAATCTATGCTCAAAATGGTCCTCACACAAAAATAAGTACAAGTACACACACACTCACACACACCATAACTCATTTTCTCACTAGGATGAAGCTGACTCACTATACACACACACAGACACAGACACACTAAACCTGGCAGATCACTGCAGTAGGCGACTGCTCCTCTCCCTCTCCATCTGCACCTAAAAGACCCATGTGCCCCAACAATGAGGTGACCATGTCACCGCCTGAGCCGAAGCAGAGGGATGGAGAGAGAGAGAGCGAGAAAAAAGATGCAAGGAGAGGGGGGAGAGAACGGAGGGAGGGGAGAGGGAGGACACATTAACAAGCTATAATCTCAACTGCCTTATCCATAATGCATTGTGTGGGCCAATTTACATGGTGCTGGTCCCTCTGGGAGAAAGGAGATCATCCATCACATTACTTTATTAGCTCCCTCACACTCTCTCCCTCACAGATGTGCACACACACACACACACACCATTATTTGTCTCTGCCTCCCCTTCTTTCTCTCCCTCTGTTTTGTGGGCCTGTTCTGTCATGGTTGTTGTTTCAAACTGCTGCTGCCTCTATAAAACAACTCCAACACCCGAGTCGTGTTGTGCAGCCTGAGATGAGCAGGGGAGGGATTCGGAAAAAAAAAAGAAAAGAAAAAACAATAGTTTACTTTGAAAAATGAGACAGCCTCCGGTTTCACTGTGAGTCATGAAAGAGTTTAGAGTCGGAGGATTTAGGTAAATGTCAGGAATCTGATGCAGGGCTTGGTTTTCTGAAGCTAAATGTTCTTATAAATAAATCTCTTATCTGTAAATCCACAAAATTATAATTAATCCCTGGAGAGTTTCCTTATATTAAGATGAAACCCAAGAATTTCTCCATCCTTAAAAATAAATATATAAATATGACTAATTCAGATCAGTAATATCAGAATCAAAAACTTAATTTGAATATAGGGGTAAATATGTTCTCTAAGACTCTATCAACAGTATTTACAAGAAAACCTTCAAACTTTTAGGATAAAGTATGAATTGAACTGTAAATACAAAACGATCATAACAATTATCTGCACATTTACATTTTCCGTTGTTCTCGAAGTCACTTTAAATCACGAGAGTTGTTTTTACTGCAGGTTCCAGTTAAATTTAATTGAACTGCACTTTTAAAAGACTTCATCTGAACATCAGTGTGTGAACAATTTAGATACAGACAGAGATTAACAGTCATTAATGGACAGTTGTGAATAGAGTGAAGTGTTTTGATTTGATGTCTTAGTTTTACACACAATTATATATGAAAATATATAAAATTACATAAAATGATTCAATGTTTATTTTGTTTATCCAGCAGCTTGGTTAATGTTTCTTAGTGTCAAAAGTGCAACTTCATTTCTATGATAAAGTAAATCTTTAGAATTAATTATAAGAATAAGAATCTTATTTCATAGCGCCTTTATGGACACCTTACACTATATCGTAAAAACACACGAATAAGTAAAACCAAGTGTTAGATTCAGATTAGGAGACACAAACACAAATCAGAATATTTAAAAAGTAAAATTAAGAGACAATTAAAACCAGGTTATGCGGCATCGAAAAGTACAACATGAACACAAGAGTGACTACAAGTTAAACCAAAGGTTAAAATCTTTATAAAACTTGTGGAATCATAACACACACACACACACACACACACACAGAGAGAGAGAGAGAGAGAGAGAGAGAGATACTTTCCAGTAAATAGACACTTAGACAGAGTAAAATACACTAAATTGTTTATGTATTCCTGGACTCAGATCACACACAAACACACACACACTGCAGATCTATCATGCAGCCGTGCACCCTGTGAATAAAAAGAGCTGTAATTGCAATCATATATGTGGCGCTGCAGCACTGTGCGCCATACCGTACCATTAGTATCACAAATAAGTAATAATTTGCTAATGACAACATTATGTTGAGTCAGTTTAGGGGCAATTAAAGTGAGTGATATTTACATATGCCTAATGAATCACCGAGCGTGGCAGTTCGGGCGGACTCTAATGAATATTCATCCAGGCAGTTCTCCCCCGCGCGCCGCAGTTTATAAACTGAATTATGGCTGATTTGCCCTTTTAAAAAATGAACACGGGCGCATCTCCCACAAGGAGGCGGCGAACAATAACGTCTGATTATAAAAATGCTTTAGTGCGTAACTGCCGGTGGAGAGACGGCGGCAGCGTGGTTGCAGACCCACATGGAGGAGAGACCACCTGAAATCAATCCACTTCAACCCTCCACCTCTTTACACTCAGTATTTGCACTGAACATGTCATTGATTTATTCGCACTGGAGGGAGTTTGTCTTTAAATGATCAGGTCACGGTTCTTCTCACCAACCTGTACATGGGTCCGACCCTCCCAGCCCGGCTGCACCACCACCACCACCGGTGATTACTCCGGGTATCATCCCCGGTGAGTGGGCCCTGACCCTCTCAGGTGCGGGATCAACAGGCGGCATCAGTTCGTATTCACAGTGCGTGAAAGCGACACGTTTATCATGCAAATAAGCAGCTCTTTACAGCAGGTGTCAGCGAACACTCATCGTGCGTAAAACGTGCGTAAAAAGACGACGAGCGTCTTCACACTAGAGTCCAGTCACTGATGACTCACATGCAATCACAGATACATTTGGTTTTAACCTGATTAATATCCTACATCCTGATGACAAATCCATTGGAAATTCAATAAAAATAAAAATCTAAATATTAAAATTGCCAAATTAGCCTCCACCATCAGACTAACCCAACATTTTATAGGCTAAGATGTGGATTATGTGAATCTTTTATTATTCATTCATTCATTCATGTTGTATGTGTCTGATCCATGTGACAAATCAAGTACTGACAATTATTATTGAATTCACAAGACATAAAGCTCAGTAAATCATTTATTTCTGTTTTAAACAACACAGCCAATGAAACTAATATAATTTCTTTTACACAAATAAATATCAGGTCAAACTTAACATTGTACCTCTGTCATTAAAACATTCCTTTCAAGCTGTTAAAGTGCTGAGTGTCATGTATGTAGAAGTATGTAGAATGTAGCTCGCTTTAAAATCATGACAGGAAAGTACCTCAGTCTCCTTCACCTCAGTTTGAGTCGATGCTTTCACTCGGATGTATCTGCTGCCACCGTGTGGTTCAATGTTCAAACACAACACAAGTGACAGGTTTCTTTAGAATGACGTTTGTATATAGAGGTAAACCTTCAGCACAGGGACTCAGAGGTCAGAGGTCAGCTGACCAGAGCTGGGAGGGAGTCATGCTGCACTGATGTCCAAATCACCTCCATCCATCTTTAATCACACTGAGGGTTATAAGTGAATCCTTCTGTTTATCACTGTTGATCAGTGCTGGAGTGAAAACTGAGCCTCACTGACAGTTTTAATCTGTAAATAAATTTTTACTCTTATGTTTCAAACAGTTGCACCCATCATCTACACCTCTGATCGTCTAATGGTCGTACGTATGCGTCGTATACATTGGGTGAGAGAGGCGGGCGACCCACATTAGAGTCTTCAATTAGTCTAACCTCGACCTGCATATCTGTGGACTGTCAGAGGAAGTACCTGCAGAAATCCAGATTCACTCCTGATCCGGATAATATCTCTCGGATTGATCAAGTCTCATGCTCCTTATTCCTCCTGAGGTTTAGGGTTTAGGATGAACTATTTTTTTTTGTTTTTAATTAATGTAGCAATCTTCAAATAAGATATATGTTATATTCAGTCTCTTTTGGGACACGAAGCTCACATTAGAGAGGGAAAACAAGGGAATGAAAAGGACAAATGCCCGACTTGTAAACACTTGTTTTGGGGATTGTTCCATCAATTCAGCATAAACATCATTTGGAAACAAAGGACCCTCCAGCTGGAGGAGGCTGGCAGACTGTTCCGGTCCCTCAGAGGCTCTCTCATTAGTTGACAGTTTGTTTTTACATGCTGATAAACAGCTGTGCAAAGTTCTCACTCACGGAAATTATGATAAAAGCTTTCGGACGAGAAAACTAATCTCAGTTTCTGTCCTCGGAATTCAACCAGGAAATAACTTTTAGAAAACATAAAACAGTCTAAACTAAATAACAGGATGATTTGAAAAACAGTTTCTGCTGGTTCATTGCATCAGTCACTTTGTTTCCTCTCTCACAAAGTTCTATGTTGCAGATTTCTATATTTTTCCGCTTGAAAAAAACGTACTGATTTCAAAGGGAACACAATGTGTAAAGTAATGGAAACTTCACCTTCTATTCTAAAAGGATAAATTGATTCATTTTGAATCGTGAATCTTAAGTGTGGACTTTTTAAAATTTAATTCAAACAGCCTGTAAATGAAGAGAGCTCTTGATTCCTGGTCTGTAACAGTCTCTTCGTCCTCCTGTTGTTCCCACCAGCACCTCTCATAAGTAACCTGGTGTCAGTACACAAAGCTGACATATATGACGGATGCTGCTGGTAGTTTTGGCAGATGGAGGTCAGGGAATGGCAGCACACCGTCACTGTCTATGTGCGTCTGGACCGTGTAGGCTTTGACCACTGCCCCCCACTCCAGCACCGAGCTGTGGACGATCCCCAGTCGGGCCTGTTCATGATACGCAGCTCCCAGCTCTCTGCCCAGGAAGATGTCTTGGATCTGGGGTGTGGACAAATCCAGGGAATCTCTCCTCCTGTCTGCGATCAGGTCCAGGAATGTGTCCCTGTCCCGGTTGTATCTATTTGTGTCCAGGTGAGCACTGTTGTCTCCGTCTGCATCACTGTTTGAGTCTGTGTTTGCATCCGGAAGGTGGTGAAGCTGCTGCAGGTTCACCACCGTCAGCCTCTCCAGGTGCTGCACAGCGAAATGTCCCTCTAGGGGAGAAGAGGACATCCCTCTGGATCCCCCGGCACCACAGTGGATCAGAGTCAGGTGCCTCACCTCTGAGTTGTTGAGCAGACGTGCCGTGTTCAATGGCGACGTGAACCAGACGGTCAAATGTCTCATTCGGAAAACAGGAGAGGAGTGGGACTGCGGGTGGTGCAGCGTGGACAGCTGGATGTCCTTGCATCTGCAGTCAGTCAGTGAGGAGATGCTGCAGGGCTGCGGGTCCTGGCTGCAGGAGTAGTAGAAAAAGCTGTTGTGGGTCACGTAAGCCAGACGCAGGTCAGAGCGCTGCAGGGCCAGAGACACACACAGCAGCACACAGAGGAGAGGAGCAGGAGGGCTGAAGGCTGCCATCACTGCTGCAGGAGGACAGGCTCAGGCTGCATGTTGACTGGTGTTCATGAAGGGACGTGTCCAGGTGTTCAGGTGCTGTGTAAACCTGAGCCTGTAGAAAAGACATACTGGACACAAAAAAAGTAAAGAATCAAACACTCAGCCATCAAATGCCTTTAACTTTCACCACACTGCAATTTCCTCAAGATCAGGTTTTGGAAACCTTGTCACCGGTGAACTGAGAACTGAGAGTTTGAGATGTTGAAACCCGAGTTTTGAAAGTTTGAATCTCTATTCGGAAACTTTGTGGACGTACATCTGCACTGTCACTGTCTGTTATTTCAAAATGTAGTTTAAAATACCCTTGTTTTAGATGTTGCCACATATTTACCAGCATGCAAATCACATGATATCCTGAAAACTGAAAAAACAGTTTCTGGAGGCCGGAGCATTTCCTCCTGACTTATTGTTTAAGCTCTTCAGAAGTTAAATCCAATCACATGACAAACACAAAGTAATGTTTGCATGGAACAAGTGTCTGATCCAGATCTGATGTGTTTTCACAGCTTCCTGCAGAGCCATGAATGGATTTACAGTTTTTTAACATATAAATATACGTGTGATTCTGCCCACAGCCTGTAAAATGACTTTATCTGCACAGTGAGTGAAATTTCCCTTTAAATGGTGCATCTGAATTTCCCCTCCACCTCAGTTCACTGGATTCCAAGAGTGACTGTTGTAATTTTCTCTTTTGGAAGCACACTTTTCATCACCCGGTCTCAGCTACATGTAATTCACCACATGATTTACAGCGGCAACCTTTCCCTGGGCCCGAGGGAGCGGGAGTGAATTTGTTCCATTTTCCCGTGTGTCGTCGTACATCGAATAATATTCTTGACATTTTTGTGGTAAAAGTCCAGCCGCAGTTTTAAATCCACCATGA